GGTAAGGAGGGTGTCTTGGTGCCTGGTCCCATCAGCTTAGAAGGGGGAGATTAGAGGAAAACGGGAAGAATTTTTCTTCTGAAAATTGAAAACTCTTCCATATTAAATAATAATGTAGGAAGAGCCAGGAACTGTCTGGACTACTCCCCACATAGTTTGTGAGAAGTCCTCTTTCATGCATCCTAAGAAAATGGCTGTCTTGTGTGTACAGTGCTGTGATGGTGCAAATTTGGTAGCCTTCCCCCCCCATGAGATCCCATGGATGCAGTCAGGCTGTGTCATTGCTCTTAATTCTGTGCCTTTCCCAGGTGATCCATGACTTCTTGTTCTCCTTGAAAGAAAGCCCTGAAAAGTTCCAGATTGAGGCCAACTTTCCTCGACGTGTCCTGCCCTGCCTCCCGACAGAGGAGTGGCCCAACCCACCCACGCTGCAGGAGGCTGGACTCAGCCACACGGAAGTCCTCTTTGTGCAGGACCTCACGGACGATTGACACTTTTCCAGAAGACATAAAATGGAAAGAGAAATTCATATTATTATTATAATACAATATTTTTTTTAAAAGACTGCGTTCAAACGAGGGATCAGAGACCACATTGCCTGTGCCAGCTGTGCTGTGTGTGTGCACTGGCGAGAGGGAGTGTGTGCACATCCTCACACACCCGTGTACACAGCCATCCCCTGCACTTGGAGGGCAGAGAGGGAGGGGAGCTGGTGTTGCCCCTCCAACCTCCCAGGGGAGGAACAGGAATGGCAGCTCTTGGTAATTTCTGCTTTTATTGATGACAATAATAATAAAACCCCAACAACCTGACATCTTGTGAAGATTTGATACTCTGCTGCTCCTGACAGCCAGAAGACTGGGCACCTGAGTGTGCTGGGAGTGGAGTGGGAGGGAAGGGCTGGAAAGAATCTCTTCAGCTTCCCTCTGTGTATAAATATTTTTCTTTTAATATTTCTCTTGCTTTGTAATGACCAAAGGAGAATGGGGTTGACTATAGTATTAACTTTTTGATAAAGAGCTGGTTCAATTCTTACCTGTGTGGGTCTTGCCCAGGGTTCTTAGCCTGCGTAGTATAATAAACTCTGCCTCTAGCATGTCTGTGCTGATGCTTTCTGCCTGCCCAGTGCTGGGGAGGGGCTTCCAGCTGCTGTTGCTCCACAGCAGTTACTGCTCACAGCATTGGGGGGAGGCTTGATTTTGGCCTCATGAATTGGAGAGGTTGTGCCAGCAGAGCTGCTGGTTTAAGACAAGACTGCACACCATGGGGGAAGACAGTGCTGGGGCTGCTGCTCTGCAGCATCTGGGTCACCCTGATCAAGTTAGAGTTGGAAAAAAAAAAAGGGAAAGGGTGTGTAAGCCAGTGTTCCCTCAGGGGCTTGGTCACACTCCTGCTCCAAGGAGAACTTACTCCATTAGCCCTGCCTGTTGGTCATCTGTTCTGGACAGGTAACCATGCTCTCTCCCTCAGTGTACCTCCAGTGCCTGCAGGAACCACAGGGGAGCAGGGATGTCCTACCACTGTTGCTGAAGGGTGGCTCCAGGGCCTGGCATGGCTTTTTCAATAGGTAGAAGGAATCCATCTTCCTCTTAAAAGCTGTTCCCTCTCTGGTCATCAAGCCTCCTGGAGCACTTTGGGGAGAAGCAACCCTGCTCTTGGCCTTGGGTGAGCCAGAGTTGCGTTCTCTGGTGTGCAGGGTGGGGGTGTTCATGCTGGCCTGCTGAGGCAGCCACACTGTGCCAGACTGCAGGGATCCACGCTTCCCTGGCTGGGCACGCTGGGGGAGTTTAGCTGTAGAAGAGGGGGATGCTGGAGTCACTCAGGAAGACTTGCCCTCCTAGGAGCACATTGAGGAAGAATTTGTGTCTCTGAAAATGAAAGATCTCTCGGAGAGAGAGGGGGTTGCTGGATCAGAGACCCTTTTGGGGTAAAGGCCCCAGCTGGCTCTTGCATCCACCCTCAGGCTCTCCCCTCCAAGTCCCCTCTCTAGGGCTCTTCCAGCTGCTGCACTGTCCCTCCACCTGCTCACTTGACAGCCTGGGGTAGCCTTCCCCCCCAAACTCTGACCTCAGTTCCCCCAGGGAGCTCCATGGGGCCACATGTGACCACCCCAGCCTGCCTCAAGCACCCACTGAGTCAAAAGCCAGGGCCACAGCAGGTTGGTATACATCATACATTTATTAGTGAATATCCCTCTCAAAATCAGCCACAACATTAAAAAAAATAATGATTGCACTACTTGGTCAAGCAGAACTAGCAACTTTCATTTTAAAAAAAGTACAAATCTGTTAAAAATTTCAATCAGTATAATACACATATATATAATACAACATACTAGTTATGTTAAATGCTACAAAACCAATATGATTCCAATGGAATGGAAAAAAAACAAACACTTTTAGAGCTTTAAGAACCTTTTTTTTCTATATATTAGCCTTTTTTCAAATACATACATGGGAATATATATATATATTTATATATATATATATATATATAAAAACTTTCTAACACAGAACACACGTCCTAGCACCTTCCGGGGAGCCGCGGGGACCGCGGGGGTCCCACCGGAGGGCCCGGGGACTGGTATAATAGAACAGTAAACAGTCCACTATCCCACCACAGGAAATCATTGGTAAACAGTGGTATCTACAGCGCAGTCAGCAATCACAAACACCCTAAATAATTGTTTTTTAGTATTTTTTTTTGTAAATTTTTTTTTGTTATTTTTTTTTTTTAAATGATACTTTTTAGCTGCTCATTGGAATAAATTCTGCAGCACACGAGCTGTGAGCTTTCGAGGCGCCGTCAAAGGACCGTAAGGCTTTCCTGGCTCCCTGGGCACCGCGAGGGCGGGAGGTGGGGGG